TTGGTTTCAGCTCCGGTCATGATCTCATGGGTTGTGGGATGGAGCCCCATGTCGGCTCTGCACTCATCAGGGAGTCTGCATGAAGATTCTTTCCTTCTGCCCCACCCCCACTTGTGCGCTCTGTCTTGCTCTCTAAAATAAATAAAGAAATCTTTAAAAAAAAGGAAAATGCTATTTTCTGTACAGCTTTGGGAAAATGAATGTGTAACTCTTTCCCAAGTGGCAGGTCAGCATACACTTGGTGCTATCTTCAATAACAAAATGGTTTTGGGGGCACCTGGGTGGCTCAGTGGGTTAAGCTCCAACTATTGATTTCAGCTCAGGTCATGACCTCAGAGTGTTGAGATCAAGCCCCACACTGGGCTCTGCAGTAGGCATGGAGCCTGCTTAAGATTCTCTCCCTTTCCCTCTGCCCCTCCCCCCTCTAAAAAAACAAAGAAAATACCTTTTTTAACGAACTATTAATTACAAAACAACTTTCTTAGAATAAAATTATGCCTAAACATGTACTCAGTAAACACACATTCTCATATCTAAGAAATAGGTATAACTTAGTAATTACTAATCTAACTAAATTTCTAATTTTAGAATTAGTTGGGAGTCCATTATTATGTCTAATAACAGTAAAAACTTGTAACTGTAAATGTTTAAAGGTTTACAAGAAAATACTGATCTTTTGCCAGGGTTTACTTTAAGCTTGACGTGAGTCTATAATACCTGTATTATTTATAAGTTGGGAAAAAAAGGAACTCTAAAACTCTGATAATGTTACTCTTCTGATAATCTTACTCTTTGAAATAGAATGTCAAAGCACATGTTATATGCATAAATGGCAAAAAGATATAGATGAAAGATATAGTAATAAGAAAGATTTCACTGGTTTACCCTACTTTTTTTTTAAAGATTTTATTTATTTATTTGAGAGAGAGAGAGAATGAGAGATAGAAAGCACGAGAGGGAAGAGGGTCAGAGGGAGAAGCAGACTCCCTGCTGAGCAGGAAGCCCAAAGCGGGACTCGATCCCGGGACTCCAGGATCACGACCTGAACCGAAGGCAGTCGCTTAACCAACTGAGCCACCCAGGCGCCCTGGTTTACCCTACTTTTTAAAAATCTAGATTATCTGAACTCAATCATTATAATGTTACAAAAAGAATTCCACCATAAAACCAAAACACTGAAGAGACAAACACTGAATTATCCAGATAATTCTCTAAGACTGGTAACACCTTAGTAATATATACTTACTGATTCACAAACTAAATGCCATAATAACGAAATACAGGTTAAACTTTTAAACAGGAGATTCATGATCTCAGACTACTTTCAAAAGAATAAAAACTAAAATGACAGTTTATAATAAAATATAAATTTAATCTTTGTATAGTTTATAATAAAATATTTTAATCTTTTCAATTTTCATATTTCAAATATGGATTTCCTCAAATAGAGATCTTATTGGATACAGACCCAAGACGTTATTTCAAAAATATGTCAGAATTTTTCTTTAAGGAAACGGCTTCCAAAGTTGGCAAAATAACTCAGTTTCTCTATTTATAAAGTTATTAGCCTTGATGAAATTGACATGAGTATTCAGTGTTATCTGGTATTGTTTACCACTTTTTCAAGAGTAAAGACCTCCAAGTCATTTGATATACCCGGTAAGGACAAAATTCACTGGTTTGAGGGATATTTACAACCAGAGAAATTTTAGATATGACAATGGAGAGAAGCAAAAAAAAGACCAACTTGGGGCGCCTGGGTGGCTCAGTCATTAAGTGTCTGCCTTCGGCTCAGGTCATGATCCCAGAGTCCTGGGATCGAGCCCCACATCGGGCTCCCTGCTCAGCAGGAGGCCTGCTTCTCCCTCTCCCACTCCCCCTGCTTGTATTCCCTCTCTCGCTGTGTGTGTCTCTGTCAAATAAATAAATAAAATCTTTAAAAAAAAAATAAAGACCAACTCCTCCCCCCACCAAAAACAAACAAAAAAACAAAAACAGCACTTCTAAAATTTTACTTATCTCCTAATATTTCTCTTTTACAATCATTCAACCTGTTTTTATATATTCTTTACATTTTCCCCATTGTAGGTCAAATTCAGGCTAGTGATTCAGATGTCAAGTGTTTTAAATTCTATTACTATAGAATCTTATAAATCTTATATAAATAAATATATATATATACCTATATAGAATCTTATATAAACCTTAAAGTACCAAGTAAGAATTTTTAAAAAAATATTTCTAAGCAAGTAATTGATGGAAGCTTTAAGAATACTAATCTAGTCTGTATAAACACTGATGTTTTATTTTGAAGCTACTAGAATATATAAATATATAAAATGGCACAATAGCATAATGTAGTTCCATTGCTCAAGCTTCCCTAAGAAACTGGGATGATTCAACAATGCAATTCTTATTCCTGTCTTTCTGATCTATTAACTTTGAACAAATAAGGCAAAATACATATATTTTAAAGAAAAATTTACCCAAGTAAAGTTGTTCTTTAGAAATAATGTTTTCTAAGCTGCTTTTAAAAACAGTTAAGTAGGCAGCTCTACAATTCATATAAAATATCTCTTCTTCAGTTAGTGGAAATGTCTTTGTTCGAGGACTCTCTGAAAGCGCTGACTTCTGACTGGAGAAAGTTGCATCTCTTCCTGGACTGATGGCCATTCTATTAGAAAATAATTTAAAAATTTTAGTCAATGTTAATCCCCTAAAATGCAAATGTCACCTTGCCTTTCAAATGGGGGGAAGAGGAATCAAAGCATTACAGTTTTCATATATGGGGAAAAAAGACAAATATAATATGCATATGGTGGTATTATTATATGCTAAATTAGAATAAGCCTTTGGCAGTATATATATATATACATATATATATGTGTGTGCATATTTCGAAATCAACTATATGAGACAAAATATATATAGAAAATACATATATATGAGAAAGCCAAAAGAATAAAGCCAAAGCAAAGATGTAATATAAAAACAAAGTAAGTATCATAGAGGAAAGGAAAAGCACACAACAATACTCTCAAAATAAGAGGACAGTAAGTTGGGGCGCCTGGGTGGCTCAGTCGATGAGATGTCTACCTTCAGCTCAGGTCATGATCCCAGGGTCCTGAGATACAGTCCCACATTGACCCCCCTGCTCAGCGGGGAGTCTGCCTCTCCCTCTGCCCTTCCCCCCCCGACTTGTGCTCACGCTCTCTCTCCTGTGCTCGCTCTCTCAAATAAAATCTTTTTAAAAAAAGAGGACAGTAAGTTAAGTCTTCATAGGGTTGTCATGAGGATTAAATATGTTAATACACGTGAAGCATACAGAACAGTGCCTCGCACGTAATAAGTGCTAAATAAACTTTGAAAGAGTGAAACTCCACAACAATGAGAATTTGGATGTAATGTGACTGGCAGTTGGCATCCATCACCTCAGCAGGAGCAACAAGGTCACTTCACCAACATCTCAATAATGCTGGCCAACATTTTGAATGACTCTTTTGGATCCTATTTAAAGCATTATTGTGAGATTTTACTGCATTCATTACTAATAATGTTGTGAGGTTATATAGTACCTCAGCTCATAAGCCTTAAAGAACTATCGTACATCTTAATTTATCCTTATTACAGTGGTCAGGTATTTTTTGTCCCTTTTACAGATAAGGAAATTGAGGGACAGAGATGTCACCCAGCTAGCAGTAACAAGAGGCAGTAAATTTTGATAACAGTTTCTTCTTTATTAATGTGAATGAAGGCTTCTTGTACAACAGTTACTATGAGGCACTAAATTGTGCTGGTGGTCTAACAGCTTCCCACATTATTTTACCCAGCTTTGACTTCTAAAAATACATTCCAACCTAATAAATTGAATATTTCAAGTTCAACAATAAGACGACACAGGTAGGGTCCCCTTCAGGACTCATTGGATTCTTACTCAGGAGGCCTAAATCACTTGCACCTTCTTGAATTATATAGGTCTTTTACACTTGGGAAAGAAAGATAATAATCACTTACCATGGATGAAGTACCCTATTTATAATACACAGACTGCCTGTCTGACACTTTCATATTACACCAGATTTAGAAAGACCCCATAGGGATGTGGTGTCACAGTCTGGTTACTGCAAATTGATATCACTATAATTAAGCATCAGTTTTAAACACATATGCGTGCACGCATCTCCTCACAAATGTGGGGAGGAAAACTGTTCCGATAAGAAAGGAAGAATGAATGTTCATTTTGCAGCAAGCAATTTTTAAATTTAAGTATTTGGGGGGGGTGGGATCGTCCTCGAATACTCTTTCCAAATAAGGTGTCTACCTCACGTGTAAATCCCACAGTAGAAATGTTCCAGAATTCTATTCTTTCCCTTTTTGTGACGAGAGACTAAACGGAAGCTTAAATAAATATATAACTGCACCCCTCAGGCTTGGAAGCCGCCTTCATTTAAAACTCCAGCCCGAGACCAAGACAGGGGCCTAGAGAGCACACTGCAGCAAACGGCTCCATAAATAACCCGCCACACTACCAAGAAAAATAAACTGTTAACAAGCGCCTAAGGCTTACTGAAGGGCCAAGGGAAACAGAGCCGCCCAGTCCCTGGCCCTACACGCTGAAATACGTTCACAGCTGATCTCGGGCAACCTCTCTCTGTTTTTGCATTTCTCTAGGACGCAGCTGCGGTTGTATGTACACTTTAGGTACACACGGACCCAGCGTTGGTATAGCAAGAGAAGTAAAAGAAGCAGGTGAGAGGGAAGGAAGCCGGACAGCGAGGCAGGGCGCGGCGCAGACACAGAGACAGCCAGCGGTTTGCTACCTAATTCCAGCTCACACGCGAGGAAGCGCAGCCAATTCTCTCCACAGATTCCGTGATCCTGTCACCGCAGCCCAAACGACCTCGGCCTTTCCTTTAATTACCATGGCAACTGCGCCTCTCCGCCACCGGAAATAAGATTCAGAGCACCTCCCCAAACAGTCCGGGTAGAAATCTAGGGAGGTGAATCAGGAGAGGACAGATACGGCTGTGCCGCTCGTCTGTCGGGGTCTGGAATGGCCAGAGTGAAGAGAGGGTCCTGTGGTGCGCTGGCAGGGACGAGGATGAGGTCCTAGGTCCTTAATTAGCGTCTCCTCTCCTCTCCGCCTTACACTCGGATCCTTGGGAGGTGGGAGGGTGTTTCCAGCGGGCCACCTTGCGTGTGACGCCGCGTCTGGCAGCCTCAGGCCCGGGCTTTTCAGACTCCGGCGTCGCCCTCCGAAGGTACTCTGCTTCAGGAAGAGGTGGCCCAGTTCCTTTTATCCCGCGGTGGTGCGTTCCTGAGTGTCGAAATGCCGTAGGTATCCCCCTCCCCCACCCCATTGCTGTTTCTTGGGTCCCTTTGTGAACAATGAGAGTAGATATTATGTTGTCCTCAAAAATAAAATCCTGTTATTTTACTAGCAAAAATGGGTTTATTCTGGAATAACAAAGCATTTCAATTCGCTGCGTGTAAGCTATGGCTAAACCGTAGGTAAGTTCAACAAAGGAGAATGATTTTATGGAGAAGAGGGAAGAAGTTGGGAGGGATTATTTTGACCCAAAGTCCGTGGGAGAACAGTCAATTCAGGTTCAAGGGGACGGTTTCTCCTTGGCTGAGTTGCAAGCGTCGTCTGTATTTTGTAGGAGGTGCAGTGTACATCTTTCCCTATTGGGACCTGTAACCGATGGTTCTTAACTATTGAAACTCTTCTGTTGGGGTCTGTAATTGATAGTTCTTCCTATAATTGACGTTCAGTGGTATGAGATCCCCTTTTAGCCTCCCCTTCTATCATCTCTTCGCCACTTTAATGAGGTTTCCCCTTCATTATTTTTCACATTTCCTCCTTTTGGTCAAGATCTTTCTCCAAAACCATCGCTGATTAAGAGTCAGGTTCTTCTTAATTCAGTGACCTTTTGTCCCTTAGTGCCAGGGAGGATCTTTCTTGGGTGTTATGTCCCACTTTGGAGGGAAATTGTACAAATTGGAAACCTATTGAGGTCAAATTTTAGTAACAAGGCGTAGCAGGGAGAACTTTCAGGCATTTCCCCATCTATAGTCCATATTTATCAAGATTGTAAGCGTTGGAGATCGTCTTACTGAGTACATCATTTTTCAAAAGACTTGACAGGAGGGCGCCTGGGTGGCTCAGTTGGTTAAGCGACTGCCTTCAGCTCAGGTCATGATCCTGGAGTCCCAGGATCGAGTCTCGCATCGGGCTCCCTGCTCAGCAGGGAGTCCGCTTCTACCTCTGACCCTCTTCCCTCTCGTGCTCTCTATCTCTCATTCTCTTTTAAAAAAAATAAAAATAAAAAGATTTGACAGGCAACAAGTACACAATTGAAAGTAACATGACAATTCCAAATTGTGTGATAGTTCTAAACCAGGATCCTAGATCTGAAAGTAGCCAACTAACAAGACTGGCACTTATTCCAGCTTAGGGAAGAAAAGTTCCCCCCGCTGAGGCAAATAGAGTCCTGTATGCTTCCTGGAAGTCCCTACTTCAAGTGGTCATGAAAGCAGAATGGTGATTACTGCAAGAGCGCACTGAAAGAATTATCTTGTGCATTTGAGAAGATACAGTGTAGGTATAAACATGAAGCAATAGCTGGTGAACTTTTTGCAAAACAGCAAAACTTCAAAGACCTTTTAAAAAGTATTGTTATCTCAAAAGAACTGTTGGAACCAAGTGTGTTAATAATATGGTAAAGTTGAAAATTCAGAAACCATGAATTCTGGATAAGAATCCAGAGTTAGTTAATACTCTAGATGAAAAAGAGAGACTTCTGTAATTCCTGAACCTTCTAACAGGCCTGGTCCAGACATCTTGGGAAGTCTGTGTCATCAGATGTTGTCTGCCTCAATTCCAGGAAATCTTTCTGACCAGATGGTCTACAAATCCGGTCAGGGTTTGATGGCTTTCTTTAGATGTGTCACATGAATCCAAGAGTCCGTTCCTTGAGGTTTGGCACACAACGGTTGGCTAACAGTCCCTGAGAGGGGGCTTTCCAGCAAGGTTGAAGAGAGTCTTTCAGGAGGTATTTTTTTGTCTTTTTTTTTCCCCCAATAGATGAAATCTCCAAGTTGCAAGATGTGGTGCTTAAAGTTTTTGTCTACTGAGAGTACACTGTGAAAAAATTGCTCTACCAAAGCATAGGTAGTTTTGATAGAAGCAGTTAGGCCTTTATAATATTGAAGTATAATCTCCTTTTATCAACTGTGAGTCAAAGGGATCAGGAGCCAAGTGCATTGGATGTCCTGTGACTGTCTCAAAGGGTGAAAGTCTATGAGTTCGCAAGGGAAGGGGTCTGATATTTAGAAAAAAGGCATTGCTTTAGGCCAAGATATTTGGAGGGTCTTTACAAATTTTGCCAATTGAGTCTTAATGGTGTCAGTAGTGTGTTCAACTAACCCTGAGGATTGATGATGGTATGCACAATAAAGTGTTGTAAAACTAGCCAAATAGCATGGACTTACCTAACTGGTAAAATGGGTTCCCCAATCACTGAAGTTCCAGAGGGGTTCCCCAGGTAGGGATAATTTTTTTCTAACAGAATTTTGGCCACAGAAGAGGCAGTGGCCAGTCTACAAAGGAAAACTTTAGTCCAGTGAGGAAACATACAAACCAAAACTAAAGCATATTTAATCCATTAGATGGGGAAGCTCTATGAAATCCATTTGTGAAAACTGGCCTTTGAGGTAATTTAAGTGTTGGAGAGCTGTGCAGACAGGTTTCCCTGCATTGTGTTTTGGACAGGTGAGGCAAGTGAGGTGGGCACTATTTGTGACCTCATTAACATTTCCTCACCAATATGGGTTCATGAACACTATCATTTTGTTAGTAGACCAATGGTTTAGTGCATGTACAGTGGTAAGTAGTGGGAATTTTAGAATTTCTGGTAGAGCCAGATTGTTAATTGGTCCAAGTCAGTTTTTTCCTTTTATCAAATGAACAATTATTAGATTTCCAATTTTTTCTCCTATTCTGGGGCCCATTGTTGAACGTTTCTGGTCAATTTTTTGACCTTGAAAGCAGCATTTTTGGCAGAAATATCAGCAAGGTGGTTTCCTTTGGCCTCCAGGGAGTCAAGTTTAGAATGCTGGGGACCTTAACAGCCAGAGTAGGCAGCAAAAGTATGACATCAAATAAATTCTAGACATAGGAACCATTTTTAATTTTATCCCCACTGGGGGTAAGGAAACCTCACTTTTCCATAACATACCAAAGTCTTGAGCTACCCTAAAGGCATACTGGCTATTGGTATAAATGTCTGTGGTTCTACCCTTGGCTAAGGTACAAGCTTGAGTAAGGGTGTATAACTCAGACTGTTAGGCCAAAGTAGCCAGAGGGAAAGGTGCTACCTCGGTGACTTCAAAGGAGTTGCAGTAACATACCAGCACATTACTTACCATGTGGTATGTATGTGGTATACCATTTTCATCCTTTACATAAGAACCATCAGTAAACCATGTAAAATCTGTATTGTGTAGAGGAGTTTCCTGTAAATTGTTACCGGGAGTCAGAAGGTGATCTGTCAGCGTTCAGTAGTCATGAGGGGTCTTGTCAGTGAAGAAGGGGAGAATAGCCAGATTAAAGTTACTACAGTGAGAATTATATGAGGAGCAGTTACAGGATTTCATAGGAGATGAAATGACTAAGAAGTGTTGAGTGTAATGAGAATTAAGGAGGACTTCTTGTGCATGGGGCACAAAGATGGGATCCCCTGACTATTTCTTCATTGGCTTTATCCAAAAAGGCAGTGGTAGGAATGGCTCTGAGGCAAGGGGGATACCCCTGTGCTACAGGGTCTAGTTGTTATCTATAATACCTCATGAGTTTTGGGGTGAGTACTCTAAGGGTATTCCCTTCCCTCTCATATACAAAGAGGAAAAAGGGAAGTTGATAATTAGGACTTTATTCAAGACTTTAAAGTCCCAAAAGCTTGTCTTCCCAGTCTTTCCAAATAATAGGGTCAAGTTTGTTACTTTTTAGTAAAGCAAATAGAATTTGAGTCATAAGAGAAGTTTGGAATCAATTTCAACAGCAGCCAACTGGTCCAAGAAAATATCATAATTAGTGCTTTGGTTTTGGTTTTGGGAAGTTCAGGATGCCATAAATCCTGGATCCAAATGTAGTCCTTATATCAAGATCATGTGTCATAAGTATCAAACCTGGGTTTGAACAAACTGTAGTTTTTCTTTGGAGACTTTATGTCCCTTTAAGACCAAAAGTTTTAACAAGTAGATGCTGTCTTCCTATGAAGAGGTTTGAGAAAGGCAGCAGAGAAGCAATCATCTGTGTATTGTAACAAAGTAGATCCTACAGAAAACTTTATATCATCCAATTTTAAGGTTTGTGAAAAGTAAGGACTCTCTGTGTAACCCTGGAACATACTCTCCAGGTGTATTGCCATTCTTCCCAAGTGAAAGCAAAAGTATCTTTATCAACTAGAATACTAAAAAATGCACTGCAAAGATCAGCTGGAGTGGTGGGGGGTGGGAGGGATGGGGTGGCTGGGTGATAGACATTGGGGAGGGTATGTGCTATGGTGAGTGCTGTGAATTGTGCAAGACTGTTGAATCACAGATCTGTACCCTTGAAACAAATAATGCAATATATGTTAAGAAAAAAAAAAAGAAGAAGATAGCAGGAGGGGAAGAATGAAGGGGAGTAAATCGGAGGGGGAGACGAACCATGAGAGACGATGGACTCTGAAAAACAAACTGAGGATTCTAGAGGGGAGGGGGGTGGGGGGATGGGTTAGCCTGGTGATGGGTATTAAAGAGGGCACGTTCTGCATGGAGTACTGGGTGTTATGCACAAACAATGAATCATGGGACACTACATCAAAAACTAATGATATAATGTATGGTGGTTAACATAACAATAAAAAATTTAAAGAAAAAAATACACTGCAAAGATCAATTAGGGTAAAAAGTTTGCTTTTGGTGGGAATAGGTATCAGTAGTATGTGGGGGTTAGGAACAATAGGGTGCTGAGGGATAACAGTGTTACTTATTGCTCAGAGGTCTTGGACAGACCTCTATTCTTGGACATTGGGTTTTCTCACAGGAAAATAGGGGCATTGCAGGGACTAGTGCAAGGGATAATAAAGCACTGAGTCTTATAATCTTTTATTATGGGCTTGATGCCTTGAAAAACTATAGGGTATTGATTAGTTCTGGGGAGAGGTTTTGAGAGATCTGTTTGAATCTTGTTGGGAGGTGCAGTGTAGATTCTACCAACACCAGTTGATTTTGCCCATGGACAACTGATCTTTGTCCCCAAACTCAGCTATAGGGCCATCAGAGAGAGC